AAAGCGGGGATCATATGGTACGTGTACCTTAGCTGCAATGTTTACTTATTATTCTCTCAAAAATCCAAACTGTACCATTGCTTATTAAATTGAAAATTATAATTTTAAACTTTCTGTCTTTATTTTACCATCAATTCACAATTTTCCAAAAACAACCGAATTTTCCAACTTAAGGGAACAAGTTATTGTGGTACTTGGTTTATAATCCCTGTGGAGACGATACTTTACTTACTTACTATATTACTTGTGCGATCGGTACACTTGCCGGTGAGCACCAAGTTTTTGGCACCGTTGCCGGGGATTGTTAATTCCAATATTATAAATAACAGTTGATCTTTGAGATTGGATTTTTATTTTTATTTTATCTTGTTCTATCTTGTTCTGTGTTTTGCAGGTGCTACTAACCATTTTTTCTGAGTTTTATGCGAGGTAGATCTGCTCCTAAAGACTTTGTGATTGATCCTGAAATTACAAGGACTGAGAAGAGACTGAGGAAAGTTGCCAAGCAGATAATTTGAGAAGAATTCAATAGTGTACCTGAACAACCATTACAAGAGATGGCAGATGGTAACAATGCTGGTGGCAGAGGCCATAATACAAATAACCCACCTCCAAGATTGTTGGACACCATTCTGACTCCGGTGTTCAATAGGCCAAATTCAAGTATACTCAGGCCAGCGGTGGAGGCAAACAATTTTGCGCTGAAGCCAGACTCTAATTACTTTGGTGGAGAGGGCTCAGTTTTCTGGTGCTGAGGATGAAGACCCTTATGAGTTCATAGATCGATTTCTGATGGATTTAACCCCAAAAATAAATAATGTACCTATTACTATATAGTGTAAGGATTTAATATCTATAAACACAAGCATATCTGTTGCGAACTCGACAAGTGCACCGGTCTGTACAAGTAATAAAGTGATAATAAAAGTTGTCGATCCCACAAGGACTGATGACCAAACACTAATTTATCTATTTAACTAAAGTTGGATCGATCGTGAATTGTTGGTTTGAGAATATTTTAATTTAATTAAAATAGAATTTTAAACTACTTATTTAGTTTTCAATATTAAAGAAATTAAATTCGGAATTAATAAATCTAGAAATTGAGTTTAAGTTTTAATAAAAAGGCATAGCCAGGACTCGACTTCCCCAATGGTTTCTTAACGAGTTTGCCTATAGTTACGATTACATTAAGATCAAATTATTAATAGCTCTTTCTATGATTGATTAAATCTCAATCCCTTGGTAATCCAATCCTTTATTCTAATCCAAAGCCTAATTCCTTAGTACTTTTTCATAAAATAAGCATTAACGCAAGAACCTATGGTTATAGAATTCATAAGTCTATCCCTAGATCATACAAATTCCAACAATCAACCAATCGGAATCGATACACCAACATCTCTATTGTCAAGCACGACTCTAATGCTCATTCAAGACTGGCCAGATCATAAATAAGACTAGGAATAAATTACAGATGGATTGCATAACTTAAATCAAGAATATAAATCATAATAAAAGCAAACAACGTTCAAGAACCCATTGGTTCCGTCTCGCCCTAACTACTAACAGGAATTTAGCTATGCATAATTATAAAAACAGAATTAAAAGATACTGGAAAATAAATAAAGTTCATGATAAAACTTGATTAATGAAGACGATCAATGATGCAGATTGCTTCCTTCCATCCCCTCTGCCAATGTTCCTCTTCCGCCACGGCTTTTGTTTCGTCTTTGACTTTCTTCTTTCTTCGCGTTCCAAAATTGTTTTCACGGCTTTGCTCACGTTATATTTAAAGAGAAATTGTGGGCTTCTGAGTTTGGACCCGCTCGCTGAGGAGCTCGCTGAAGCGAGCTGCTCAGCTAGAGTTTTTCTTCTCCTCGCTCACTTGCTCGCTGAAGCGAGCAGTGGAGCGAGCTTTGACCGAATATTTTATATTTATTTATTTTTGTATTTTTCTTGATATTCAGCCGATGCCAACTGCCTCCTCATCCTTATCAGGTTAGTAATTTATTATTCTAGTATGAAACAACCTGAAACAACAACTAAAATTAGGATCTTATCTATTTGTTGGCAATTTACTATCTTTTAATATTTTATTTAATTAATACTATATTTTTAATTATTTTAATTATTATTTGAACTATATTTAATATTAAAAGCATAGTATATTTGACACTTATCAATATGTCAACACATGAATTATTAATTCATTAATTGAATGTATAAATTATCAAGTTTGAATTTTCCACAACCCTTAAACTTATTAATTTCCGGTGATTCCATTTCAACTTTAAAAATAAACATTTCTTCAAAACACAGTAGCTTGTTGTCAACAAAGAGACAAATAAACTTGTAACATTAGTAGTTGTTAATATATTTAAGTAATACCTCATAATATCATTATTGTATCTTAGAATATTTTAAAAAAAATTAGTTGATCTCTTAAGAAATTAAATTTCATTTCGATTAATAAAATTATATTAATATTAATGTGAAATATATATTAGAAAATAATATTTCTTACTGATTTTGATCATAAAATTAAGGCATTCTGTTCCGGAAGATATGAAGAGAATTTTCATGAAAAACATGCATGGAGATGAGTTGGGACAGCATACATGATACATGAACATCATGTAAACAGTTTTTCATCTCTACAGTACTGTAAGACTACCGCTGCGTTATTTCAAACATAATATTACTGAGCTTTTCATATTTTCTAACTTAGGGACATGGTATTAATTCAGGAATGCCAGAAGATGCAGAAATCTATGAGGAGGTGGAAAGTGAGGGTGGACATTCAATAATACCATGTTTGATAGCACTATAAAAAAAAAATTGCTGGGAAAATTATATTGTTGGGGATTTTGTGTGTGTAATCTTAAACCAAATTCTCAAAGAAAAATGTTACCCAGACTATGGTACCGTGATTTTGTCGGGTAAATGAAAAAGTTGATGCCAAAATTGTGTCAAAAGTAACCCTGAATAGAGAACAACTCTAAAACGGCAATCCTTCTTCTACGAGTTTAGCTGCTCGACCTTGAGGGAGACAACCGACACTCGAATCTACCACTGGGTTTCTTTGCACTGTACGAACAAGATCTACTAGATCTGCATGTCTTTTGTGTATATGGTTTCATTCTGAAATTTTAACTTTTTAAGCTGAAAATAATTTTCTACCTTTTTTTAGAAAAAAACAAAGTTGAATGATGACTATATTTTTTATTTTAATTATTTTTTGTTGTCCTATATATAATTATCTGGGTTCAAATTACATATGAAGTGAGTGAAATTTCATTTTGTTAACATGTTCGTTTTGTACTAGAGTACGAACAAGGTCTGCATCTTTTCTGGCAAGAAGACGTGAGCCAAATTGTGATGAATATTTAGAAAAAGTGGAGGTATATTTGAAATATCACACCAAATTCTCAGTAATATTATATAATCAACCAAACATAGACTTAGTAAATTTCACTTAATATTCTCAGTAAAATTTTGGTATACCAAATAACTTTTTTTTAACTTTTCTATCAAATCTACTATCCCACGATATTCCTAGTAATTATATTTTTCTTGTAAAATTTTTTTTCTCCTCTTCCAAACGTCCCCTTAACGTAAGGGAAGATAACTAATATCTTAATGAAAAAAAATAAAAAATCATGCATAAGCAAGAGATTATTTTAAGATATGAGCAATTTGAGGTTATTTTTATGGAAAAGTGTGTCATTTTAAAAGATGTAAAGTTGTGTATCTTAAGAGAGAAAGAGATAGATAAAAGAGGAAAGAGAGTTGACAAAAAAAAAATAAAGGTGTGAATCTCATCTCTTTGTGAAAGTGAAACAATATAAGTTATGTCATTTAATAGGATAAAATTTTTTCTTTATTTTTATATAGTGCCTCCGACTTCACAATGAAGATTATTTACAATTATAAGTCACAATTTGACACGATATGTAATAATTTTGGGACAGGAAACATCCATCAAGTTGAGATGGCCGAGTTGGTCTAAGGCGCCAGATTAAGGTTCTGGTCCGAAAGGGCGTGGGTTCAAATCCCACTCTCAACAATATTGACTCCATGGCCCAATGGATAAGGTGCTGGTCTACGGAACCTGAGATTCTGGGTTCGATCCCCAGTGGAGTCGTTTCTTTCTTTTATTACTATATCGACGTTCCTGGTTATTGAAATTACTTCTTTTATTATTATATCGACGTTCCTGGTTGTTGAAATTATTATAATTTCATTTCGTTAACAGAAAATATTATAAATTACAACCTTCGGTTGTTGAAGATATGATAAGATTTCGGTTGTTAAAAATATGTTATATAACTACTTGTACTGTAAGAAAGTTCGTACTTATTGACTTGTTATTTAACATGACAATCCTTGTCTAGCAACCCATTTTTGGCCCGCATAATTCAAATTACAAGTAGCCAACTAAATCATTGGACATGAATTTTCAGCTTGCATCATTGCAAACAATAAATTATTCTCGAGTCAGCTTTGAATCTTGAATACATAGGTGGGAAATTGGGATGTTCCCCTGACCGTGTCCTAGTCAAGGACGCAATTGCAAATTGTCTTATCTTTCTATCATTTTGCTCTAAGAAGCAGCATGGTAATGTAATCATCTTAGTCTACATTTTCCTTAAAAATAACAACATGATATTATAAAGCTCCCACTATGCTATGCGCTTAATCTACAGTTTCCTTGTTTTTTTCCTAAGACAGTGATATTAATCAAGACATTTTCCAATTATTTATGCTGATATTCAAATACTTATCACCCTGGTATTTTTCTTTGAAACTGCTGATTATTAAAATAATCACAATGAAAATGGTATTCCCCAACTAGCTAGAAGCTACAATGTGGATTATTAAAACCCCATTTCAAGTTCCTGTTATTTATATACAAGTATAAGCAAGAAACGTTTGTCTTGGACACAGAGCCATTGAATTAACAGAAATTCTAGCTCATTTGCTATATTCCCAGCATAATGTATCCTAGCTCGAATGAACATGAGACATATAGCCATCCGGGCTATGTCAATGTCATACCAGAAGCGCTTCCAAGTTATGGTACTCCACAAGCTTATGCTCCTTCATATATCAACACCAGTATGAGGAACCCTATTAGGACACATCATTGGTCAACTGGTCTTTGCCGTTGTCTTGATGATCCTGGAAACTGTAAGAACCCATAAATGATCATGTGGATTCATCTTAATTTCTCTATAAACATCAACCAATTCACATACTACTGTAATTTCTTTTGTAAGGTTTGGTCACTTGCTTCTGCCCTTGTGTTACGTTTGGATTGATAGCAGAAATTGTAGATAAAGGCACTTCGAGTAAGTTTTTAAACTCTGCATCTTCATATGAGTACATGCTATGTAGAAAGGGGAGGAATTATAATGGTTATTAATTTCAGTTGCTGTTTTTCTTTGTATCTGCAGGTTGTACTTGTGATGGGGCTATTTATGGGACGCTGCTATCTCTGACTGGACTTGCTTGTTTGTATTCTTGCTCTTATCGGTCCAAACTGAGGGCACAATATAACTTGCCAGAGGCACCATGTATGGATTTCTTAGTTCATTTCTGTTGTGAAACTTGTGCTCTTTGTCAAGAATATAGAGAGCTAAAAAACCGTGGATTTGACTTGGGCATAGGTAATTCCTTCTTACTTCAAAGTTCAAATACTTTCGTTCTTTCTTTAACTAGTGATTGACAAATATATACTGTCATCTCATCAACTTCAGGATCTCTACTTTCTTAATTTTTTTGTACAGTTAAGAGTTTTTTATGCATTGAGGATGAGAATTATGGAGGATTTGTCTGATATCATACGGGTTTTGCTGGCTAAATAATGCCTTTGAATCATTTTACTATAAGTGCAGTTTAGAAATTATTATTATTATTATGATGATCTTGTCCTATTATTATAAGGAAAGATTAAATTTCATCTTCTTGTTTAAGTTTGATTGTTGATGGTTATGTATGAGACTTCTTTTTTCTTTAAAGAGTGATATGAAACTGACTTCTTGTTGGGCAATCAATTGAAATATAGGCTGGGAAGCCAACATGGAAAGACAAAGGCAAGGAGTTACAGTAGCTCCGGTGATTTCACAAGCCATGATAAGATGAAAAATGCAACCTATTAGGAGCTTTTTCTGGCTACCCTGGGAGCTATTGATGCTGTCTCAAATCCTTGTTTTGAATATTTTGTTTGCTGCTTGGTTTGAGTGTTTTTGTTATTAAAAAGGAATGAAAATTTATGTCAAATGTTGATCCGCAGTGTATCAGGTTTTGTCAGTTACTTAGACATCCACTCAAGTTCCAATATCAAATTTTAGTCCTATCAACCTGTAATTCAGAAAGTTTCTTTTGCCTCAGAGGTCAATAGCCTTGAACATCTTTAATAGGACAACAACGTTGAGTTGAATTGCTTCTCATAGACAATATTTGAATGGCTTAAGTAGTTGGCATCACATGCATATCAAATCTAGCAAGATGATATTTGCAATTTTTTCTTTTTTCTTTTTGGTGTCATTCTACTCTGCTTACCTCATAGGTGGAGTGGGGGCAGCAATCAAATGGAGCAATTCAATAATATGATCGATGGACTCAACTTTATACTGTTTAAATATCTTATGTTGTAGGAGAGCATTTTTTTCTCGTACACATACATCGATTTTCGTGTTATTTTTTTGTTTCTTTTTCTTTTTCTATAAATGGGTGGATCCCACACATAATTGTCTCTATAACATGAGAGAGTTTCTCTCCTGTTACATGAGATTAATAAAGCCCTTAAATATAATACGAGGCTCGATTATATATTCAAGCTATACTCGAACATGTATTTGATAAATTAAATATTTCACAGTTCAATTCGATGATAAAAAGCTCCTTAAAACACATAAATATGTCTGTAAAAACAAATTTCTCATACAATCGAGTTATTAAATTAATTCTTTTCTAGGATTTGGTGTTTGTCCTTTTAAAGACATAAAATTTTGTTTTATCCTTTTAAGTGAGAGAAAGAGATACACAATAAAAATTATGGAAGAATAAAGTGGATAGTTTTTTTTAATTTAAATTTTAAATAAAAATATTTTTAACTAAAATGAACCTCCTTTAAAAAAACAAACATTTTTCCCTTCTTTTCATAATTATTTTAAAATTTACGCGTTCATTTCTCAAATTTTAAATTTGTGCCAACATCAAAAGCTTTGTTTGTTTCTTTTTCTTTTTCTCGCATATAAATTTTGCTCTAACAACATTTGTGATATGAATAGAAATTAAAATATAAAATTTACGCATATATAATAATGTAATATTTACATAGAGAATCTACTCCCTTAATATATATATATATATATGTCCCGTATAACCTTAAGAATTAAAGGAAGGTTATACTTACAACTATGGGTGTTAATAGAGTTAGGGGTCTTTCAAGGCCTTTTGGCCCGGCTCGTATAGGTCTGGCATTAGGGGTGTAAATAGGCCAGGGCAGGGCAGGCTTTGGCCTTCATGGCCTAAGCCTACACACGAAAATGTTTGGCCTATCTGGCCTATGAGCCTATCAAAGGCTTAGTTTAAAGGCCAAGCCTGCCCTGTTATTTAAAAATAAAAAGCCTACATGGCCTATGAGGCCTTTTAGGCCTACCATATTGTAAATTAAATAAATAAAAAAATATCTCATTCATTAAACAATATTTCCAGCATAGGTCCAAATTATAAAAATTTTACAACAGATTTTTTAACAAGAACACATGTTATAAAAATTCTACAACAGATCTTTTAACAACAACAAAGATTGAATTTTTCTTGGCACTTCACAATCTTCTAGTGAGCCTTCTTAACATCATCTTCCTGCAAAAAAAAAGTGAATGAGGTAATAAAGTTATGTTTAAACAATGAATTTCTATTAATAATGATAAAATGTTAATAATTATGAAAATATTTCATGATGTTTTATATTTACGCATATTGGTACACGTGTGAAAATAAACTGTTTTGTGTGAAAATAACTGAGATTTCATGATCAGCATATATCAAACTTATAAATTATGTGTTTTGTGTAGTTCTAATATAGATAATTTTCTGGTAGTAATTTTGTACATTTGTTCGCTGCAGCATGGATGTCATGTAGAAGAAGCAGCAAAAAGCTGCACTTTAAGAGGGAGAATGCTGCCAAACAGAAAGCACTTAAATTTTGATCCAGCTAATCCGAAAAGCATAAAGTAATTAAATATAAAAACCAATATTGGTACTCAATTGTAGATATTAATAATTAAATAGACATCTCACCCATAAAAAGTAATCAGCTTGATTATTCCCACTATCTTTTCGAACCTGCAAGTAAAAAATCAGAAAATCAAATTAGTTATGCATTTCACTATGTTTACATTATGAAAATTGCAATATATAAACATTTTCAAATGTGTTGTTAAAGAAGCAATTTATACCTTTTATTTTTTTCTTCAAATCATATTTATTTCGTAGCCAATCTCCACCACAAATTAATGCTTCGACAGTCTCTTCGTTTAAACTAGCACGATAAGCATCAATTACTCTTCCACCAGCACTAAATGTGGACTCAGATGCTACAGTAGAAATTGGAACAGCTAGTATATCTCTTGCCATCTTTGATAAAATTCTATATTTCAAGCTGTTTGTCTTCCACCATTCCAAGGCATTAATCCTATTCACATTCATTAATTCAGCCTTGAGACATTTCTTTTCTGCCTGATACAATGTCATGCAATCATTTTTTATTGTTTGACGTGAAACTTTCTCAAAATCAGCATTTGCAAACTTAAAAGCCCACATCCAAACTGTGTCCTCCACAATGCTAAAAGGATACTCATGTACCATGATAGAAGTAGCAATAATTTCTCTCATCTTCATATTAGAATACTTACCTCCTGATGCAAGGAAAGGGTTCAAGGTAGAACTTGTAGGCTGAAACTCTATGGTTGATTGCTTTAGTCGTGATTGGTCTGTTTTCCTTCTTAAGCAACTTTCTGAATGCCTCCTCAAATGGCTAGTGCTAGCTCCAAACCCACCCGTAGCAAATTTAGCTTTGCAATAGTTGCAAACTGCTTTTTGTTGTCCATTAGGGAGTTTAACTTCATGAAAATCATTCCAAACAGCTGATGTTTTCTTCCTTTTCTTTTCTACGACTGAATTTGCACTATCAGCCGCTGCAGCACTATCTGTTACTTCTTCCTGGTGTTCACCTCTTACTTCAAGTTGATTGGGGTCACTTGGTGCACTAGCAATAGCATTACCACTTGCACTTGCACTTGGAGTAGAGTCCATTTTCTAAGCATATAAAAAAAGAGTACAAAAAACAGAACAAATTAGCATCATAAAAGGATGTAAGTAAACTGAGATATATATTAATGTAAATAAATGTGAGAAGATGCTCATTAGAAGAATGCATTTCAATGGAGTAGTTTGTTTCGTGATCTTTTGTCTCACTTGTTCTCTACATCAAATTTCTCATATATATATATAAGCTATAAAACCCAAACATCAACATATATTCCATTGATTGGTTAATATTTATATATAGGCTGAAAAATGGAAATCTGTAATGCATGTACTCTTGTACAAACAAAAGATAGATGCTAAGAGCCAGGCATTACAGCAGCATGTTTGTTTAGTCCAATTCAAAAAAGTCACAAGCCACACCAATTACTATACTAAATTAGCAATCAAAGAAAACAAACAAGCCACACATATTAGTAAATGCTCTTCTGTGGCTTATACTAGTTATCTTTGGTCCCTTTTATTATGTTATAGTAATTGACATTTCTAAAAGCTACTATAAAAATGAATTCTAAATATAAAAACAATAACAAATTTAAGGAAATGCAAAAGTAATGCAGCAGGTTGTTGATCTTCAAGTAGAAATTTAGGTTTAAGTATTGCGTGGAGCTTAGTTTTTAGTACATTCTAAGATGTTAATTATTCTAAGAAAAGAAAAAAATATAGGATTTTTATCGGCATATATGTTTCCTCTGTAGTAGGTAAGAATTCAACTGATTAAATCACAACTGAATTTTGTTTAAATTATATAACAATAGTCGATCTGTTCATTAATACTACCGATCGATCGATTCAACCGGTTAGTTCAATTCGATTTTTAAAGCATTCAGATATATCATAATATATAAAAGACAATTAGTTCTAATTATGGAAAATGATATTGTTTAGTCTTACCATACATGTTGCTTCTAATGGTCATAAAAAATATTTATGCAGATTGCAGGCCAAAATGTACTAGTCATTTTTTTATGTCCACCTCATCCTTCCAATAAAAACACCACCGCTGCCACTCTTTTTTTTGAAGGTGACAAGCAATGAAAAATTATCAACCACTCTTCAAATTAAATAGAAAAAGTATGTCACATATCAAGTTTAACACCATTCACAAAACATAACCTTCGGAGTACTTTTCAAGGTTGGGTGAGAGAGAGCTAATAAACCCCCAAAACTTAAAAACAAAAACAAAAAGAAAATGGTATGCAAAGCATTTCATCGAGAAGAATCAGGAATAAATACCAGTAAAGTAACAGGGTGTGGAAGCAAGAGACTAGTTCAAATATCAATACTTTTTTTTTTAAAAAAAAAGAGAAGGAACAACGCAGTGCAGGAAGAACCCCCACCTGGGAAGAAAAAACAAGAATACCCAAGAGAATGCGAATCAAAAATAAGAATACCCAGGAACAATGTACACACTTGTTGTGATGATCAGAGCACTCACCGAGTCCCCCTTAAGGGGCAGTAACAGTGAGTTCAGCTACGCCTACAACAACAACAAAATCAACCTAGAAGAGAATCCTAAATTTCAAGGCTAAACCAGTAGCAAATCCAAAATAACAGCACCTTCGCAAAATCTAAAAAGTTAACGAAAGAAAAAAAAATACCTGGTAAACCTTGATAGATGAGTAACCGGCGATGAGAATAGATGGGTGACCGGCGATGAGAATAGATGGGTGACCGGCGGTGAGAGACTAAAACTTGATCGTTTGGGTTTTGGTGAGACTAAGGTGAGACTCCTCTTGAGTCGTGAGATCTGATGTAGAAGAAGCTGCGCATAGCAAAAGAAAGAAATTAGGTTTTGTCATCTTTTA